CCCCAGCACTGTAAAGACTCCGGGTCCTCCCAAACCATGGCCCTCCAGCCCCTTCACCCAGCCCTGGGACCAGCAGTGGGGGTGGAGGGCAGCCTACATCTTCCCATTCTCCACTCCCCAAATCCAGAGACATATGGTACACACACAGGTGACGGGTGCACAGAGCTGAGAATCAGATGGGAAAGCAAAACGATGATTCTTTGGTGTATGCACACCTGTGGCAGGTCAGCACCCCAAGATGTTTATGGAAGTAATACTGGGGTGTAAATGTTCATATTAAAGCTATCATCAGAGGATGAGGATGATGACGGTGGAAGGGAAATACCGTAAGTGTTACTTTGTGGGAAGGGGCGGGGTACTACAGACAGTGGAAAAAGGAGAGAGAAGGGGTCAGGCAAGTTCACCTTCTCTGGACCCTGCACATTATGGAAAATGGGGGAGGGTTTACAGGGGTCTCAGAGTTCACCGAGGTCTCGGAGAAGTCAGAGCGGAGATTGTACAGGGGCGACTTCACCGAGGCCAGGAGTGAGATGAGAGCGGGTCCTGGCTGCAGGAGTAAGAAGAGTGTCCAGGGTGCCCAGGCACGGAGCTCCACTGACAGGGAGTGGGGGTAAGGGGTTGAAGACGCAAACAATCACCAGGATGGGCGAGGGGTCGAAAGTGAGGTCCCTAAGAGTCCCGAGTGTCGTGAGCGGGGCCTGGGTTCTGCAGTCATGAGGAGTGGGCCGTGCGACCTGGTTCTGTGACCCCAATCCCGCTCAGTTTCAGATACACAGCTGTCCACGGAGATCAAGGAGTGTGAGAAGAGGATCCAGGTACATTTGTGCAGACGCCCCTGTAAACATCACAGAGAATGTCAAGCAAATAACGTGTGCTGTTTGAGCTTCTGTGGGAGCATCTGCATGAACGTGCTCTGAGCGGGAGGGGGGCTGGGCTGTGCACACTGCACCCCCAGCCCTCCCCTGAAGACTGGACCAAAGAGACCAAGGACCTCAGGTCCCGGGCACAGGGCTGCCAGCAGCAGTGCCATTCTCGTCCCTGTGCGGACGCCTTGTTCCTGTCCAATAAACCAGAACAAATGTCCGGGCACCTGGCTATTTTCCTCCCAGGACTTGTGCTTATTGAGAAACCAGGGCACAGCCCAGCGTGCCCCCACCTCTCTGGGCCCTCTCCCCTTGTCATGCTTCTCTGCCCTCTCTCCTTTTGGCCCACGCACCCCTGCCAGGCCCCTGGAGGCTCAGCCCCCTTCTTGCTCTGCTCCCTGAACCAGCACTCCCAGAGGGAAGGACAGTTTGTGTGCGCCGCCCCCCAGTGCTAATGAGAACATCCTCGCCCTGAGTCCTAAGGGCCAAGTGAACCATGAGATAGGGGGGTGCTAAACCCTGGGGTGTAGAGTAGGGGCCCCCAAGGAGGACTCTTCTTTTTTTTCCTTAATCCTCAGCTGAGAACATGTTTCTATTGATTTTAGAGAGATGGGAAGAGGGGGTGGAGAAAGAGAGACATCAATGAGAGAAACATTGATTGCCTCTTGTATGCACCTTGCCCAGGGATTGAAACCACAACCTAGGTATATGCTCTGACCGGGAATTGAACCCACAACCTTTTGGTGCACAAGACAATGCTCCAACCAACCAAACCACCTGGCCAGGGCAAGGAGGCCTCTTCTTAAACTTGACCCACACCTGTCTCTTTCTCCCCATTCTCCTTGTAAAGTTCAGGTAACAGTCTCTTTATGCAGAAGGAAATAAACCCCAGGAAGTTAAGTGACTTGCCCAAGGCCAGGGAGAGGGAGGGGCCACTCATGCCCTGGCTGGCACAGGGCACTTCCTCTGGCCTCCCTGCATACCAGCTGCTTTTCTGCTGTGGGGAGACCACGGGCACGCAAGTGAGTGCCTGTGCCCACCCAGCGCCCCCACTGCAGCCTCTATCAGGATGGCCACTCTCCCGATGCAGCCTGGGACTCGGTGCCAGGACCTCAGACTCCAGTGCCTTCCAGTGACAGAGTGCCCCCTACCTTACCCAGGTCCTCCTCCTTATGGCCTCTCTCTCTCTTTTTAATCCAGAGGAGAGTCATGGGGTGGGAGGACAGGTGGTTCCACTGTGAGGCTGCTAAGGATTAGCTGGCACAGGATGGCTGTGAGTCTTGTCTGTGGCCTCATGGTGAACCAGTGAGAATTAATCCCTGGGGTCCAGGCTTCCTATCTGTGTAACCACAGCACCTCTGAAGTGGTCCTGGGGCGAGAGCAGGGACTGAGTCACGTGTGGCCACTCGGGTCATGGAGTCAAGTGTGGGGGTCGCAGACAGGCAGGCCCTGCTGCAGGCAGGTGTGCAGTGTGACCCTGCAATTTAGTGCTTCCTAGGCATCAGTGCAGGGGACAGTAGAGGAGGACACCTGCCTCCACTAATCTAGACCCTCCCGCCCAGCTCAGCAGGGTAGAAGAGCGGGGACACCTGGGAGACCTTGAATCTCGCGGAAGCAGAAGCAGCAGCAAATGCACATTCTGCCACGATCTGGGCCTCCATAATACCAAACCTCCGCCTGCAGAAGACTCAGTCTAACAGTCACCAGGGGTTGTGCATTATTTGTTCCCTTCCCATGCCCCAGACCTGCTCCTTCCTTATGCCAATTCCAATGGGAATATTCTAGAAGTATCTCTTGTCTCATGCGTCATGATGTTGGTCAACTCCTGCCTTGTTACCAATCTTAAAATGTCCCCAGTGCTCACAGGTGGGTCCATACCAAGGCCTTCAGCGGCAAAGTGTGTCCCACCCAACACCTCATAGCTGTCTGTCGCATAACAAACTCAGGGTGCCTAATTAAGAAGCCACCAGAGTTTCTGCAACTCAAGGGTTGGGTTAAGGTGCCGAGTGCAATATCTACCACCAAGACGTGCACTTCGGCCCCCCAATATTTGGAATGGGCATGACATGAAGGATTCAGGGAAGGCTCTATCCAAGGGAAGTTTGGATACATTTCAAATTCTACTATTAAAATGACATTCTCTAAGAGCCTACCCATCCAGCAATGTAGAGTGCAGTGTCTAGATGGGAAGAGCTCACTTCCTGAAAACAGTTAGAGAAAGGCTGTGAGAAGGTAGAAGTAAGACTCCAAGCCAGAGGGCGCCAAACATCTGATCTGCAAGACTCTTCCGGGCCGTTGTTGCTGGGCTTAGCATGGCCCTTTTTTTTAAAAAAAGATTTTATCTATTTATTTTTAGAGAGGGAAGGGAGGGAGATAGAGAGAGAGAAACATCAATGTGCGGTTGCTGGGGGCCATGGCCTGCAGCCCAGTCATGTACCCTGACTGGGAATCGAACCTGCGACACTTTGGTTCGCAGCCCGCGCTCAATCCACTGAGCTATGCCAGCCAGGGCTGGATGGCCCTTTTTTATGTTGCTTCAGGTTTTCTTTTGTTTACAGAAAGTTTACTTGAATTATCATTTTTAACACTAGTTGCTTTTCTTTTTGGAAAAACTCCAGTTAGTATATATTTAGATTTTCTTTGCCCATCTTCTTTATTAATCATTTTCTTATGGTTTTTACTTTTCGCATTTTATTTTTGGTCTCCTGGCTTTTTTTCATTCTTTTTCACAATGGCTCTTAAGTTTAGTTGAATTTATTGTCTTGAATATCTTGTCACAATCTTTATTTATAAAGTGACTTTTATCCCTTTCTTCAATGTTTTGTGTTGTTAATCCCTTACTTATCTTCCTGGGGCAGGGTGGGGGTTAAGGTTTATTTTATTCCCATTAGAGAGAGAGGGAGAAACATCAATGCAATCGAAACACCAATCGGCTGCCTCCTGCACACACCCTGGCCAGGGACCAACCCCATAACCTGGGCATGTGCCCTGACCAGGAATCGAACCGGTGACTTTTGGTTAGGGGACAATGCTCAAGCAACTGAGCCGCGCTAGTCAGGGCCTGGGTTTTCTTGTTTTGGTTTTGGTTTTTGTCTACTTGTGTGCTAAGTTTTCAAATACCTGGTGCAAGACATTTTCCAGATGTCAAAATCTTTGTTTACAGATATCTTAAAGTTGCAGTGCTGTATTACCTTTTGGGGAGACTTTTTCAACAGAAATATTTCAATTTTCATTTTTCCTTGTCTTTAATAGTAATTTTACGTTGAAGTTGTCTTCTAGTTTTCCATAACTTTGTAACATTTTATTTTACCAGACCAGCAATAACAGTTTTATGCTCAAATTGTCCTCAGCTTTGGCCGCTGGGAGCTCCTTCAGGTTGGTTCCCATTTCTCAGTATTTTACATTTCGAGCATTTCCCTGCTTTCTGACCCTAAAAGATGCCCCCGTCTCATCTTGTATATTTGAAGCCTAGTTCTAGAATCAGCCATTGCTCTAAGGAGCTTTGACTCATTCATTGGAAAATGGTATTTAGAACCCAAGATGTGGGCTCCTGGTGTGCTTATTACTACTGCACTACCGCTGCTTCTGAGCCTCTTCAGCAGGCAGAGCTAGGAAATACAGGTATGTATAACTCATGTACGTACACACAGGTATCTGTAATTATTCCTTTGTCTGTCTATTTGTATGCAGATTAATTGAAACTCAAGTTTATATTGATGTCTCTGGGTACCCAGAGTTCATTCTAACATTCTCCCTGTGCTTATTCTATAACTACTTTTCTCAGACAGTTAGAAACCTGGTTCCTATCACCCACCAGTCATGTATTTGTTCAGTCTTATGTGTATGTAAAGTCATTTTAGAATTGTTTGCCCGTACCCTGTGAGAAACTGGTTTACCAGAGATCTGCTCTCTAAAAAACTAAATTAAAGGGCTGCTGGCCACTTACCTTCATTAACATGTCACGTGAAAAATAAATTGTGTTCTGTGAAGCCCACGAGACGAGCCTATCAGTTCTAAGGTAATCACATGGGGAAGTGTTGGAAGCTTATGTACTCTGTAGGATAAGAATCATTTGGGGCGTCATAATAAGGTAATCAAGGATAGTGAAATGAAGTAGAAAAAGCCAAGACCATTGTTGGTAAGTGAGTTTATTTGTCAAGGTCTTCCTCCTGCCCAGCCCTCAGTGAGGACCGACTGGTGCCCCAAGTAAGAGGCTGCGGTTTTTAGCTGTCTTGTATAGATTGGCTGCAAGAAAGAAAGCTTAGATGTCAAGTGGCTGGGGAACTCTGAGAAACAAGCACTCATTCCCAAGCTTAATACTGCCCATCCCGCCAGACTGTGGGACAGGTATACTTCACGGAACAATAGAAATTGTCCACTTCTGAGTGGGCAACAGGTGTCCTATTGGTTGGTAGAACACAGAAAAGTGGAAATTTGGGGCCTGGCTGAACCAAAAGGGCTCATGGAGTCAATGGTTAGAAACCTGGATGAAAATTAGGAAAAGGGCAAACTGTGGAGTAATCTAATGAGGGCAGTACAGGCGTTAATTATATAATTACTAGAAGCAATGTGTCCCAACCTGATGTCTTGGTTTATTTGCCAGTAAATTGCTTTTCAGGTTTAGGGGGTATTGTCTTCTGCTATTTTGGGGCCTAGGATTTGGGGTACATCAGTCCTCAATTTAGGAATAACAGCAGCTGAGGAGAGGGTGAGGACCCGTGGTGACACAGCCCAGCACACATCCCCCAACTCACCGCAGCTTTCCAACAGATGTTCCCACAGTAGGTCCAACAGCACGTGTGATTGACCCTTGCACATTTAAAGGACTTGGAACACTTCCTGGTACAATCAACGATGTTTGGATGTCCCCAGCACTCCTCAATGAGGCTTTTATCCCCTGCAATTGAGGTGAAACCGTAAGAGGTTAAGAAGCATGGGAAGAGGAGCCCTTCCATGGCTTAACAACCCTTCCAAAAATTCAAGCCCAAGTCCCCAGCAATGTATCCATCTGTGTTGCAAGAAAATCCCTTCCTCAGCCTCCCCATTGCACTGTCTCTGCTATGTTTGCCTTCTCTGCTCCCGCAGGTCTTACCTGTGTTGCTGATCCCTGTGTCCCCTTTGACCATCCTAGAGATAGGACTCAGTGCCTTCTAGCCCGCATGTGCCCTCCTAGAAACTCTACATTCGTGTAACAGGACATCTCGTATCCTGAGATATTCTTTAGCCTCATTACCATGCTCAAGTTATAGTGTGGGAAGCTAGACCAGGCAGCGTGAGGAGCAGATGGCCTTCCTGTTTCCTCTCCTCCTTGCTGGCCATGCCTTTAATAGCTCAGCCTCCCTTCAAAATCTTCTCTCACTCAATTTTTAGCGCCCCCCCCATTGCTTTTTCTTATTATATGGCCCCCCAACTCGGCCACACAAAGGACTCATTTTGTGTCTATTTTCTGTATTTTCACATTCTGAAAGACCCTACCACTAAAACGAAGGGTATATACTAAATACCCTTTTAGTACTCATCAACGTACACACAGTGAGGACACAGAGCTTCTGGAAGCCTGGGAAGATACTGCAGCTCTGTATTGGTGTCCCCCATCCAAAAATAGCCTGACATGGGGAAACAGTATATCCTTGTAACCTGTGGAGTGTGTGTCAAAGTGGACGGACACTCATGGTCACTGTCAAGTTTGGAAGAGGAAGCATTAAAGGACCTCAGGCTGGGAATTTCTTCACTCTCTGTGCCTACAAAGATTGGGATTCTCTAACAGGTTATCCAGGACAGGTGGGACCTGAATCAGATGTGCCCAACACCATTAGCACCCCTTCACGTGCCAGGAAACAAGCACAGCAACCCCCACCCTTTGTTTCCAACCCAGTCTTGTCACCTGTACCCGGTCTGTCCTTAATTTCTGCCAGCACGGACAGCAGCACCACACACAGGAATGTCGTGAGTAGAGGTGTCCACAGCTTCATGATGCTGACCACGTGTCTGAATATGTGTTGTCAGGATTTTTTCCTTCCCTGTTGCTGCTAGAGACCAAGAGATATAAATAGTTGTAAAGCAAGAGGATGTGCTTATAGAATTTCTCTAGCTTCTAATTATTCCTCCTTATCTTCTACCCACCCAACAACAGGCGCACACCTCAGCTGAACACTGCTAAAATGTCATCTTGCACTCTGGGTCTTCCTCGTGCAGGAACAATATATATTTAGAAGTGGGTTGCCTTCCTTTTAGTGAATGATCATTCAAATTCAGCATGCAGTCCTGGCTGGTGTGGCTCAGTGGATTGAGTGTCGGCCTGTGAACCAAAGGGTCGCAGGTTTGATTCCCAGTCAGAGCACATGCCTGCATTGTGAGTCAGGTCCCCAGTAGGGGGCATGAGAGAGGCAACCACACATTGATTTTTCTCTCCCTCTTTCTCCCACACTTCCCCTCTGTCTAAAAATAAATAAATAAAATCTTAAAAAAAATTCAGTGTGCAAAATTCTTAAAACACTAAAAAAGTACACAGAAGACAATGAGATTATTTCCAGTAATCCTCTCTACTGATGTATATTATTCTGTCTTTTATATATGCATATATATGAAAATGAATTGTTTTTATAAAACATAAATCATATCAGGCTTGCTGTTATACATCTTGACATATTTAAAGTTATATAACATGATATTAAAATGAAAGTTTTGGCCAGGCCTGTGAAACATATCACTGGTAGGGCTTTTAAAAAGAGAGAGAAAAAGATGGCCAAAAAGTGGTAAAGGAACTCTTAAAACCTTGCTTGTTTGAAAGGTGGAAAATGGTTAGGAATTTTTTTTAAGATTTTTATTTATTTATTTTTTAGAAAGGGAAGGGAGGGAGAAAAAGAGAGAGAGAGAAACATCAATGTGCGGTTGCTGGGGGTCATGGCCTGCAACCCAGACATGTACCCTGACTGGGAATTGAACCTGCGACACTTTGGTTCACAGCCCACACTCAATCCACTGAGCTACACCAGCCAGGCATGAATTTGACATAATTTTTGGAGGAGATCTTCGAGTGGATTTCCTTTAAATAATGTTGTGCTCTCTTAATTCCAAGTCACTAGAGAGGCTTTAACGATACCTCCTACTGAAACTGGACTGTGCCCCAAGGGTTTGCGAAGACATCGTAGACAGGTGTCTGAGTCACACCTGAGAACACAAAAGCCTAAGAGGCCAGCCAAAGTGACCTCTGGCCACAAGACAGAGACTACAGCTTGACACTGGTTTGACAGGGCAAAGAATACAAGAAAGAGCCGGTGCGGGTGTGTGCCAGATTGTTCCAGGCGGGCTGCCTGGAAGGGCCATGGGGCCTCAGCAGAAGGAAGTAGAAAGTGAGTGGCCACAGCCCGAGGGTCTGGGAAAGGAGTCACAATAGACCAGCCAGGAAGGAGCTGGATTCATCCGTATCAAGAGACCCGCAGCCGAGAAACTTCCATCTGGGGGGGTGGTGTGGAGAGACTCCGAGAACCCAGAAAACCATCCATGACAGAGTCCATTCTAAGCCCAGAAAGCACAAACACAAAGGTACACGACTACCTGCCAGAAAGAACTTTCTAGACTCCCTGGCTTCCTCTCCCTCCTCCTCCTCCAAAATGGCACTTAACCAACTGCAGGAGGAGAGGAGAGAGGGAGGAAACTGAGCACTCTCTGGCGCAGCTGCATGCATTCAAGCTTAGTGTTTTGACTATTGCACGGGCTTGGACTTTTTTATGTGTTCTGAATTGAGGCAGTGTCCAGCGAAGTCCAGTTCTATGCCCCAACTCGCATACAGCAGCAGGGAACGAAATAGCTCTTCCCACTAAATTTAAATGAAACAAAAGACAAGTCTCCCGTGAATGTTTCCCCGACATATTAGTTACACCTATGATTCATATTTTCCCATTAATCATAAGACACCTGAAAATTCATAAATTTCTCTTCCCAAGGGGAAGAAATACATGGCATTGGGAACTTTCTTACAACTCAAATTTGGTTAAATGCACTATTAGCTTCAGAGCTCAGCTTTGTCCGTCTGGAAGTCCCAAGGAAAGGATACTGCCTATCTCAAACCCTGGAGAGTTGTTGCCACTTTTTTTCTCCATCACAGTTGATTTATTCTGCCAACAGGGTATACATCTTAGCTAAGAGGGAGAGCCTCTCCCACTCGTCCCTACACTACAGGCTGTCAGTGTAGTTTACGACAAAGAGCAAAACACGACACTGGAGTTGGAGAGGCTCCAATGCATTTAGCTTAATGTAAGCTATGTGATTGGACAAACACCTACCGTAACTCCTCGGAGCCTCCGTTTCCCCCCTCTGTAATGTGGGGGTGATATTAGCAACCCCATGGCAAATGCTGACTATGTGAAGCACTGAGTATATGAGTCGGCACACAGAACAGGCAAAATAATGTTGGCTGTTACCACGATGAAGCTCAGACTCTCTTTTCTTCTCCAGAAGAGTGAAAGTTATTGAATTTCATTGACTTCACCGTGGTCTTTCTTTGAACTGTTTAATCTCTTTAGAATCAATTCTGATGAATGGGTGAGATCCCATTCTTCATTCTTCTGTTCTAAATGTATTTGTCCCACAAATACTCCTATTAAGTGACTATTATGAATCAGACACTATTCTAAATACTGAGAATACAGTCATGAATAAAGCCAGCAACTCCCCCGCCTTCATAAAGCTTACATTCTAGTACAGGGGACACCCAACAGACCCCATACGTAAAAGAAATGTGCAATACTAGATGGACATCACTATGAAGGAGAAAAATAAGAGAAGGTTTGGGACCTAGAACAATATGCAAAATAATTGGTGGCTCTTATTTTAGGCAGCTCACTGGTGGTGAGAGTTGGCTTTCTAGAAAGAGGAGGTTAAGTACTGTCCAGAAAAGTTCCTTTCCCCAGTTGTCTCTCCCCGCTGACCTGGTGCTCCACGTGACCAAGCCAAACAGAGAGAAAAAAAGAAGCAAGGACAAAGAGGTCTGAATACTACAAATAAAATGATCACAATGCAGTCATTGTCTCTCTCCCTTGCACGTGACCAATTTTCTTCCAAAGTCTTTATTTTTGCTTTGATGTAATGCATGATAACCTACATGCGTTGGTTGAAATCCCCCAAATGCTCAAAAGCAGGCACAACCCCTACAGACATTTTAGACGGTGCAAAACTCATTCTCTTCTCGGCATATGTGACCAAATAAAATAGGAACATAAAATTTGAGGCTCATGGACCTTTAGATGGGTTGCCTTTAACTTTTTAAAGAATTATCATTTGGAAATAATTTCAAAGCTACAAGAGTAAGAGTAGAACAAAGAGCATCTGAATACCATTTGCTCAGATTCACCTAGTTTAAGAATTTATACATAGACACACATACCATATATAGTATACATTCACACATACACACACATATGTATTCTAAACCACTTGAGAGTGTCGTGTATCTTGGCCCTGATTTAGGAATAATTCTTTTGTGAGTGTTAACAAAAGGGACATTCTCATACATGAACATAGTGTAGCTGTCAACTTCCTTAAATTTAACATTAATAAAATATACCTTTCTGCTTTACAATCAGTATTCCTTTTTATAAATTCAGCCAATAATGTCCTTTGTCTGTCATTACACCGAAATTTCTGAGTGCTCCAAATACAAAGACCGCCCATCTTTTCTTTTAATTCAACATTCCTTATTTGGGGTCTGTCTGAAATTTCTCCAGGATTAGACTCAGGTTCTGTACTGTCAGTGGAAATGCTACGTAGGCAATACACAGTGTCCTTCTCAGGGTGTCACATATGAAGGGACATGTGTCCGTCCACGGCAACTTTCTGCCTCCGTTTCTCCATCTGAACAACAAGGACAATAATGTCTTCGGTAGAGAAATCGTGTTGGCATGACCTGGGCGCCTGATTTGAACAGGGCACTCATCCAGGCACGCCACAGATGAAAGGGTGTACAGCCTCACACGTATAGCCCCAAGGCCCTGACACCCACCTACCTCTGCTGATGTTCAGGTCAGACGTGCCAGTGATTGTTTCACTGCCGGTTCCTCTTCCTGGGCTCCGGGAACCACAGAGCCCCGGCGCAGGGGGCAGGCTGCGAGCAGAACAGATTTCAAAGACTCTGAATGCAGTTATGGTTCAGGTTGTGGCAGACCAGCGAGTTCTGCCCCGGGCTATCGGTTGGTTGTGTACAGACTGTCACTGAATTCCTCTTCAAGGAGTACTCCCTTTTTTTCTGCAGATAATAAATATAGTTAGACACAGGGCCCAATAGAATTGCAGGAGCTTCCCCTGCCCTGCCACGCACACTTCCTGGAAGTCTGGGTGACTGTGGAGGTGGGGGAGGGTCTATCTGTTTTTCTCTAACATTTGTGTGATGACTTTTGCAAAGCCCCAGCTGTCTCTACATTAATTTCTCCACTGCTGGCCTCAGCATTACACTACCCCATCATCAATGTCTCGTGGCTTTTGTGATGATGGAAAGAGAGAGCTCTTCCAACAGAGCCTGCAAAGGCCACAAGACATGGAGATTTAAAATGCAAACTTAACCTGGGTTCAAATCCGAGCTCCCACCGTCTTTGGGCAAGTGGCTAATCCTCCCTGTGCCTCAATGTGCTCATCTGCAAAGTGGGGATAATAACAGGCCTTTGCTCACAGGGTTGCTGTGAGGCTTCCGTGAGTGATTTCTGGTTAAGTGCTCAGAGCCAATGTCGGGCTTATAGGCAGCGCTGTGCAAGGTCTGTTAAATAAACAAATGACGCACCCCATGAAGTGTCAAGAGTCACCCAGTTTAAATCACATTCACTAAGTGTCAGATATTTAACATGTATTATCTAATACTCTCAATGACCCCATGAGTTTAGTACTATGATTATTCCCTTTTAACAGATGCAGAAACTGAGGCAGAGAAAAGTTAAGTAACTTGCTCAAGACCACATTGCTGGCAAGTGCCAGCTACAGGATTTCAAAGGACATGACTCCGGCGCAATGT